AGTAGACCTGTATTACTAAAAATTGTGGTCTATTATTATTATACTTTTAATTTCATCAATAAAAATATGGAAATTTATTCTCTCTCTTGTTATATAAGTACCTACATAATATCTCTGATTTTATTCCTTAGCCTGGAAACTCTAAGGTATTTACTTCCGGCCCTTTATAGAAAAAGTCTGCCGACCCCAGGTTTAAAAAACTCTCTAAGACTACAAGTTGCAGAGAAGGTGCCAATTATATTGGGAGAAGGGGTTACCCTATACCAATGAAAACAAAGGTATAGTCCCTACCCATATCCCTATTTTTTTGTATGTTTCAAGTCCCAAACATGAAGGCTCTGGCCTCCACCTTCTACACATGGCTCTCCTTTCCCTCTTAGCAAGAACCTCTTACAAACTGGGTCTTTTTCATCAGCACTAACACACAAGTTTATTAAGGAGTAATTTAAATGAAGGACAGAACTTAGAACCTTTAGGGTCACAGAAGTAAAGCTAGAAGGAACTGCAGAGGATATCTTAACCAACACACTTATCTTACAGAAGAAGAAATTGGGGCCTGGGGGGTCAGGGGAAGAGGTGTTCCATGACTTGCCTGAGGTCACACAGCCAATAAGCATCAGAGTCAGGATTGGAAGAAAGGTCCTTCTTCATATTTGAACAACTATGCCCCACCACCAACCTAAAACCTTCTTCCTTAAAAAAAAAAAAAACTAGAGGAAAAAAAATTTGTATAAAATTCATCTCTCGATGAATCATAAAAAACTCTGGTCCAGGAGTTAGAATTCAGTCCCACCTTTGACAATTACTACTTGTGTGATCCTGGACAAACTACTTCTCTGTGGGCCTCGGTTTCTTCATTAGTAAACGAAGAGGTTAAACTAAGTGATCTCAAAGAGCTCTTATGGCTTGTAGTCCTATGGCCCTAAATAGTGAGGAAGAAGTCAAGACAAAGATAGGCATCTTAACTACACAATTGCTTAAGTAAAGCATTGCAGGCTCTTCATTGTAAATTATGAAGGCATACTCTTCGTATTACATTCCTACCATAACCAGGTTTTGATGTTGTACAGAACAGAGAGCCACAGAGGTGATGGACTTAAAATACAGAATGAGATTTGTAGACATGGATAATGTAGGAATTTTTTTTGCTAAAATATCTGTATTTGTTATTAGGGCATTATTTTTATTATTTTGTATTTTTCAATGAGGAAGGGGCAGGGGAAGAAGAGATAATAAATGCATGAGAAAGGAAGGAAGGAAAAGAGAGAGGGAGGGAGAAGGAAGGAAAAGAGAGAGGGAGGGAGAAGGAAGGAAGGAAGGCAGGAAGGAAGGAAGGAAGGAAGAAGGGAAGGAAGGAAGGAAGGAAGGGCTAGTTAGGTGGTACAGTGGATATAATGCTAGCCTTGGAGTCAGGAAGACCTGAGTTCAAATTTTACCTCTGATACTTATTATCTGTGTGACTCTGAGCAAGTCACTAAACATCTGTCTACCTCAAGTTTCCTTATCTGCAAAATAGAGATGATAATAATAACATCTACCCCTCAGTGTTGCTGTACAAATCAAAAAAGATACCTAAGATATGTAAATCAAATGGCAAACAAGGTTGTTGCTGTCAAATTAGATAATTACATATGTAAATCACTTTGCAAATCTTAACGTGCAATATAAATGCTAGCTACAGAATTAAGAGGGATTCTCCTCACCTGCCAGGTACAGCTAACAAACCAGCCCTTAACTTCCTTTTGGAGCTTGTTATCTTCTACTTTATGGTCTGACCTTTGATTTTATTGGTGTAGGGAACTCTCTCATAAGGAAATTTCCTCCGCTAATACAGATTGGCAACTATTCTTCAACTGGGTTAATAGGATCGTGGAACTGGACTTGGTGAGGCCTCCGAATCCATCCAGTTCAACATCTTCATCTTATGAGAAAGTAGAAAAAGCACCAGACTTGGAGTCAGAGGACCAAGGTTCAAATCCCGCCTTCACTGACCTGGGTGACTTTGAACAAGTCACTTAAGTTCTCCAGGCCTCATGTGTTTAAAAATGAGGGAGCTGGACTAGTAGTCCTCTAAAGTCCCTCCTAGCTTGAAATCGATGATCCTATGAACTGAGGCCAGGGTCAAGAGGTGGGATTTGAACCCGGCTTCTCAATGGACTCAGCCAGGGTCACAGGACCACCATGTGTCAGGGGTCTTTCTGATTCAATCCACCACAGTCACTCTGCCTCTCACAATTTTTTTTGCTCTTGTTGTTCAGAACATACTGATGAGGGAAAAAGTGGCCCATTTATTGGCATCCTGACTCAATGCCTCTATTATTCCCTTATGAATCTGAAACTCTTGGGAGGGAAGCTTTTGGAATCTATGTCACAGGCACTGTCCTCACTGCAATTTCACATTTTTATATACTTGTGAGAAGAGGCAGAAATTACTGGGTGTGCTTCATAAGACCTCCCATGGTGAAGTATTTCTACAAGCTCATGCATTTTACTAGTTTCTACTGGAGCACATAAAATAAGCTGTAATTAATAATTTTAATTGCCTTAGATTGTGTTGCTAATGCACAGGCAGTGTGAATACAATTGACTCAGTGGACAGATATATAACTAAACTTTTTAACTGGTCTTTCCCCTACCAGTCTAGGAATCATAAAAATATAAACTTGCACTTCTTGTATAAGTTGGAAACAGAGCCCTATTCATATACAAACAATTTCTGATGGCTGAAACAGCTTTCTTTCTGAAGAAAGGTTTACATGCTCCCATCTATGGCCAAGCACATGAAGAAGGCTGAGGCCCAAACTGCTTTGTTTTGACAATTTGGGGTATGAGGACAGGAAGTTGGGTACTGCCCATTCCAGATGGGCCCCATCCCATCCTTTGTCCAAGCATTCAATACTCCTCAGGAAGGAAGCCAACTAGTTCTCAGATAATCAAGGACTATTAGTTAGTGGTGTTGAAGAATTTACTTAATGGAAGGTAAGTGATGTTCTTTGGGAAAAAAAAAAAAAACAAAGGCATTTACTTCACATCCTCTGAACTTGAATTGGTTTCATTGATTCACCTTTGGGTCCTAGCTTAGTTTGCCCTTTTTTGTTTAGTTTTGCTGTCTTAAATCCATTAAGGAAAGTGAATAATGTTCAAACACCACTCCCAGAATGACGCTCTGTAGGACCCAAGTAGGCCGGCCTATTCTTTAGCCTTGTGAGAAATGCCCTAGCAACACTACTACAGTGCTGAAAATCAGTCCAGATTGTTGGTGGTCATTGATTTAAACCATTTACAAGCTCCCAAGCCTGACTAGCACAATTTTCCTACTCCCACCTGATCTAAGAGCACATTTTATTCCTTTTGGCTTTGGCACAGACCTTGTGATGTTACATTCCTTATGGCTCAATACTCATTCTGAACTCTACAGCAATGGTAGCATTAACTATTTACTCACCAATTTAGGCTTTAAAATGCTTCCTTTAATTCAGTCAATAAAAATGTATTAAGCACCTACTGTGTGCCAGGCACTGTGTTAAGAATTGGGGATACCAAGAAAGACAAACATGGTCCCTGCTCTCAATGGGCTCATATTCTAACTGAGTGGGTGAGTTGAGGAGGGGGTTGGGCATGGGGAGTTGTATAGAATCATAGAAAGACTAGGTGAGACTGGACATTCTAAGCTACCCTAACTCTCCAAAGCCCTGGAAGGTAGAAGGACCAGTGCTACCAATGTTTGCAGGTATGATGTAACATAGTGAAACTGATAGAAAAATCTAACCCTCTCATTTTATACAATAGGAAATGGATCTCCATAAAGTCAAAGTGTTTTATTTAACGTCATGTGGCTAGTTAGTGGCAAAACCAGTGCGAGATCTCCTGACTTCCAAGCCACTGTTATTTCCATCATATCACACTATCTCCTTCTCAGGCATCATTTTAAAATACGAGGATTTTAAACTTAAATGGGCCCTACTCTGGTCTCATGCAGAGAATGAACTTATACCTTTTTCTACTGAGTGAGAGCCAATCTCTCCAGTCACGTAGGGATGCTTATCTTTGAATTCCCTGTAGCTAGCACAGTACATGGCACATTGGTTATGGAAGAGGGACTTCTTATTGTTGAATCATTCAATCATGTCCAACTCTTTGTGACCCTGTATAGGGTTTTCTTGGCAAAGACACTAGAGTGGTTTGCCATTTCCTTCTCCAGGAATATGGACTTGAACTACGACATCACTTAAATAAGGGAACTCCCAGATGAGAAAATTCCCTCTACCGATGGTAGGTCAACACATTCTCAACAACTTAAAGTCTTAGAAAGTTGAATAGAGACCTAAAAAGTTGTGTGAATTGCCCAGTGCCATACTGCAGGCACACAGTAGGAGTTTAATAATGCTTGTTCATTGAAGGATATGAAAACCTCACTATGGGCTCTCCATAATCTGTCCAATGCTGTCCTGCTCTATGTTCTGTAAAAAGAGAAAAGGGTTAAAAGTGAAGCCAAAAAAGATGAATATAGAAAATGAGATGAATAATTACAATTTTTTTTAACTAGACCGGTGATTTCATCAGTGTAGGAAATCCATTATTAGAAAATTCCCTCTGTCAATGTATACCTGCACCCGCTCTGAAAGTCTTAAGAGAGTTGACTGGGGGGATATTGATTGATGGGAGTCACACAGCCAGTATGTGTCAAAGAAAGAAACAGAACCAAAGTCTTCCTGAATCTAAGGCTAGCATTACATTGTAAAGTCCTTGAGGGCAGGGACTACCTTTTGCCTTTTTTTGTATCCTTTGTGCTTAGTATAGTGCCTGGCACATAGTAGGTGTTTAATAAATGTTTATTAATTGCTTCCTAGCCACTATACCACAGTCTTTCACTCAGCCTTTTAACCATACATATGTTATGAGTGCACCCACATTTTACACACACACACACACACAAACACACACACTTATATGTGTGTGTGTGTATCACTTCCAAACAAACCAACCACGAAATTGCTTACCTATTTCCAGCGACATCTAGGACATGAAGTTCACTTGCTTGTGAAACTTCTGAGGGTATTCGGGTTAATCTGTTGTCACGCACAGAGAATACAGTGAGACTGCAACACCCACCGATCTAGAGTTGAAAAGAAAAGACTTTTTTTTTCTCCTTCCACTCTTGAAAATCTGTTACACAAATGGTGTAAAGCATGGACAGAATGTATAATAGGGCAGGACATGGGAACTGTGTTGGAATGGCCATCAGTCAGAGTTAATCACTCACCCAGCTTAAAGTTTAAATTGAACTATAAGAACTTTCTAACTCCCATAGTTTCACAAATACCTTTTCAACACACTAACAATAAATGTCTTAATTCAATAACCTCCAAACAGCAAGGGTAAATAATTTCATTAGGAAATAAAGATGTTATTCTCCAATTCTAACTTCTCATCTAATAAAATTGTTAATTTTCTACTTCTTTCAAAGAACCACCCAAGGACTCAGGATATGCAGTGGTTTGCCATGTTATCAATTGCTGGAGACTTTGAGATGTAGGCCAGACAATGACTTTTTAAAAAACTGACTGTCTATTCCAGGAAATTCTACTTTCTTGGTTAATGCAAAAATATGCGGCCATATAATAAATACAGATGGGAAAGCAAAAACAAAAAAACAGAGGTGTCATAATGTAGAAATGACCACTAGAGGAAGATGATAACAACAGTTCCTGATCATTCTCCCAACCCTTAATGTATAATATAAACATTTATCTTCCTTATATAGGAGACTCAACTACACAAAAGTAAATTTGATAAATATATTTATTAAACTTTTAGCTGTAAGCTACTGTTAAAAATATACAAATAAACCATCTAAAAATAGAAGTAATTTAAGATACCTGGACTCTGTACAGTCTTCAAAAAATACATAAAAACAAAAATAGTAATGACAAATATTAGAGGGGATGTGGAAAAACTGGGACACTAATACACTGTTGGTAGAACTGTGAACTGATCCAGCCATTTTGGAGAGCAATCTAGAATCATGACCAAAGAGTTATAAAACTGTGTCTACCCTTTGACCCAGCAATACCACTATTAGGTCTGTTTCCCAAGGTGACCAGGGAAAAATGAAAAGAATCCACACGTTCTAAAATATTTATAGCAACTCTCTTTGTAGTTGCAAAGAAGTAGAAATTGAGGTGATGCCCATCAATTGACAAATGGCTGAATAAGTTGTGGTATATAATTGTGATGGAATACTACTCTACTGTAAGAAATAATGAGCAGGTTGACTTTAGGAAAACATGGAAAAGACTTGCATGAAATAATGAAGAGTGAAAAAAGCAGAACCAAGACAACGTCATATATAGTAATAGCAATATTGTTCAAAGAATAACTGTGAATGACTAAATTATTCTATTTTAAGTACTCAAAACAGCTACAAAGGACCTATGAAGGAAGAATCCACTTCCAGAGAAAGAACTGATATATGGAATTCTGTACTGTATAGTTTCACATATCATATAGCATATATCTGTATCTATCAATCTATCTACACATATATCTACACATATCTGTGTCAAATGTTGGCCTTCTCTAGTGTGGGATTGGGAGGGAGGAAGGGAAACACCTTGGAACTCATATGTTATTAAAAAAAGAAGTTAGGTGATTCTGTTAGGCAAAATAATTTGTATTTCCTATAGGTTTAGGGAAACTGATGGAAAAATTAAGATCCTAAACTCAACATCTTACAGAACCTTAAAAAAAAACCCCACCACATTTTTCCTGTGGTCTATATCCTAACTAGAAGCAATTACTATGATAGGTTCATAAAGGAAACTACTGATGTCTCTCTGAGGCATGGAAAAATCCACCAAGGGACTTCTTAAGTGAGAGGAAACAAAAGAAGTTTGTATCCTCTACTTTCTAAAAAAAAGGGGGGTGGGAGGGTTTGCATTTTTCTATCAGAAACTCTTATTTCCAAAAAAAAAGAAGGAGGGATATCAACTCTCTGTCACAATATAAGTCCTGTTAGCCACAGGATATTTTTATTCAGATTACACAGTATCTGGCTTCTTATGTATTTTTAAATTTTCTTTTTTTAAAAATAAACATGGCAAACGCTAAATATTTAAATTTCACCACCACACCAAAATCAGCAAGTGTGTATGTTAAGATTTTTCTAATGATGCCAAGTCACTATCAATGGAAATGTGGAAGGACACTGCCTCTGAAAGTTACAAGTCTTGGATTCAAATATCATCTTAGATAATTGTGCCTCAGTTTCCTTATCTGTAAAAGAAGGGAGTTGGATGAGATGATCTGAGGTCCCTTCCAGCTCTAAGGGAAGGAAATAAGCATTTATAAAGTGTCTACTATGTGCCAGGCACTGTGCTAAGAACTTTACAAATAATATTCCACCTGATCTTAATAACAAACCTTCGAGGTAGATACTGCTATTATCCCCATTTTGCAGTTGAGGAACCTGAGGCAAACAAGTTAAGTGACTTGCCCAAGGTCACACAGTTAATAAGGCTAGATTTGAAAATCAAGTCTTCCTGACTATATACCCAATGTTCCATCCACTGCTCTATCCAGATGCTCTAAGTTATCATCCCCATCAATGCTAATGAGATCTATTAGTGTGAAAAATTTTAAAGTTTGTTGATATTTCTTCCACCTTTCAATTTCCTAGTACCCTACTTTTGTCCCTTCATTTACCAAACTTGCAACATCAAGCAAAAAACCAAAACCAAACAAAAACCCAAACCTATTAAGGTAAATTCTTACTAGAATATGAAGTGTTTCATATGTTTATATGTATGTATACACAAATACATATATATACACATATATGTATACACATGTATCTATAAACTAGCTAAATTTATCACCTTCACTTAATGATTAACAATTAATCAAAAAATCAATAAATCTTTATTGAGGATGCAATGTCATATAATGGAAAGAATATCTAATTTAGAGTTAGACAATCTGGTTTCAATAGCAGGTTTTCTACCCACTGCCTGTGTGATTTTGGCCAGGTTGTTTTCTCTCTCTGAACTTTTCTAATATAAAATCCTTTGAAATATAAGAAGCAACTTAAGCATAAAAACAGATAGGAATCAGGAAACAGCAAACAGACTAAAGTAATAATTTTCAAAGTCAATATTAAACAACAAAATCAAAAACCTGGAGGCCTAAAGAGAATGTTTACTGAATAAATTAATTTCAGAAAGGAAACTAATTCAATTTAGTCTGTGAAATCCCTGACAGAGTTCATTACATATTTCTGGAACCTATAAATATGGATGAACCACAGTTTATCCTGTCCAATAAGATATACTTCAATCCATCTCAGATATACGGAAACAAAGTCAGATCTTCTAGTTAATGACTTTTCACTACCACAACTGATGCCACCACCCCAATTAAGCTGACACAGTAATGAGCCTGCAACGTTGGTGAAATTTTGACCATTAAAAGCATCTCTCTCTGCTTCTCTCCATTGTAAGCAATATACCTTTACAACCCAAACCAGGAATGACTCTGAAACAGCTAAGAAGCAATAACTTTAGAATGGACCAGAGCTCCTAGAAGGGGACTCAAATTCACCCTGCCTTCTCATGACATGAAGCAGGCCTGCTTTCTCCGGGCCTCTCTGGCACTGGAGTCAGAGTACCCTCAGAACCACGGTCTTCAGGAAGGGCTTTAGACCCAAAACAGGTCAGACCAAACTTCCCAGTATAGTTTCATCCATACTAGTGTCTCAAGTCCATCACAAGCCCTTAAACGTGAAACTAACTTGAACTCAACTAACTTGACTTTGAGCATGTGGGAATAAAGGGTTGTTGGCTCCTGAATCCATCTTGGTGAGTTTACTGCACTTGTGGCATAGGTTAATCTTGTTTTTACCCGCATCTCGTACTCAGAATACCTTAATCTCTAGTACCTCAGACACTCTCCACTGCCTGATTCTCACTTATCTAGACCTTTAAAGAATTTTCAACTCCAAGCAGTCTAATAGACAGATAATACCTCTGAATTAAATGACCAGTATAACAAGAACCTGGAACCTTTCTGTTTTAAATTTTTATATAATTTCTCTTGCCTTTTGTCTTCAGCTCTCCAAAGCATGAGACAGTCCTTGGCACCATTCCCAACACTGCCTCTTATCTGGTCAGCACCTAAATTCAAATACAGCTCTTGTTCTCAGGAGCCTTGTCCACCCTTTCAGGCAGGCCTTAGCCACACTTTACTTCACTTTCCATTCCTTGTCCATCCTTTCACCAGGCTCCCTACCCCTTGGACCAGAGGCCATGACTTGAGGTTTTAGCTCTTTCATTTCTGAGCCCCTGAGAGGTAATAGCCTCATTTGGTTTACCATTTCAGGCAGGCCCCAGACATGCTTCATTCCTACCCCAAAACCAGTTTCTCATCCTTCTGGTGAGGAGGGGAGAAGGTCAGGGAAGGTTAGCAGCGGCCCCTCAGCTAAGTCTTGAAAAAGGAAAAGGGTCATGGCAGGCTGAAATGAGGAGGAAATACATCCTGGGCGTAGATGATACTCAAGGAAGAGCTTGGCTGGAACAGAATATGTCAAAGGGTTATTTCTTGTATTGTTAACTTTTCCTGTGTTTCTATCTTTTCCCCACAACTAGAAGGTAAGTTCCTTGAAGGCAAATAAAAGAAGGTTTTGTGTTTTATTTTGTTTTGTTTTTTAAAACATCTCATAGTTCCTTGGACATAACAGGTGCTAAGTAAATATTTGTAGACAGAAGACTCTACCCATTAAGAAGTCAGCTTTTTTAATTGCCTAACTGGAAATTTCTCTGGTTCCCGGAATGAGTCACTGGACATGTTTGTTATTTGGCTTTTTTTTTTTTAATGTGACAATGAGGGCTCTGAGTTTTGCAAAGTTCTTGGTATGTTTTGGTTTTATTTTTTTGATAAAAAGAGGGCATACTATCCAAAGCATCTTTTTAACATGATGTGTTTATGTTCTGAACTTCCTTAACGTTTTCCATTTCCTTTCCCACCCTAAACTCACACCCATTAGACATTGTCCAGGGGCGGATGGCATTTGTGTTAAGAGAAACTGGTCTATGCTGTGTGCTGTCAAAGCAGCCATGTGAC